CTTGCCATCTCCCCCACCCCTGCAGAGCGCTGCAGCGGCCCCCAGCCCGGTGATGGGGAGCATGGCTCCCAATGATGCAATGGCATCAGGCCCCATGGCAACCGGCTTCTTCCAGGTATAGCCGGGGCTGGGGCTCCCTGTCTCCTGACCCTGGGTGGGCTTGTGTGGGAGAGTGACAGGCAGGGGCAATGACGGGGTGGGTATGCCCCTGCGGGCCTCGGTAGTGCTGGTGAGGGAGGGGCCATCTGGCCTGGGCCCCGCTGCGGGAGGGGGCGGGGTCTCTGCACTAGGCCTGCGCCTGTGTGTGTCGGGGCGCCTGGGGCCGCACAGCTTGGCTCGCTGAACCACGGGTCCTGCCCATGACCTCCCCCTTTGGGTCCACCCCACCCCCGCCACGTCCCGCAGATGGGGCTAGTTGGCCCACTCTCCTGCCTCCACGGTGTCCCCTCCCCTCCCTGGCCAGGCTCAGCAGAGCCACAGGAAACCGTGGAACTTCGGGTGACCTCGCTCCTCCCAACCCACCTGGTTCTGTCCTCCTAGGGCCCCCCCCGGCTCCCAGCCTCCCCCCGACAACCCCAACGCCCCCATGATGGGGCCTCAGGTTCCGGTAAGGACCTGTGGTGCCCCGCCCCCTCGAGCACGCACACCCCTCCCCCTGGCTCTTGGGCCCGTCCCACTGCGCTCCCACGCCCCCGGCGCGGCTGGCTGAGGTCTGCCGGCTGGTCTTGGAGGAGGGGGAGTATCCAGGCTGGGGGCCCGGATGCGGCAGGAAGCGGGTAGCTTTGGGGGCTGAGTAGGTGGGGGGAGGTGCTGATCCCCGGCCCACCTCTTCCAGCCCTTCATGTCACCGCGGTTCCCAGGGGGCCCTCGGCCCACCCTGCGGATGCCGAGTCAGGTGAGAGAGGGATGAGGGGAGGGGGGTCAGGAATTGGGCCGGGGTGGGGGCACCCACACTCAGTGCTGCCACTCCCCCTCCGCAGCCTCCCGTGGGCCTACCCGGTTCCCAGCCCCTCCTCCCTGGCGCCATGGACCCCTCCCCACGTGCTCAGGGTGAGTAGGGAAGCTCCCGCTGCTATCCCCCGCCTCCCGTCAGGATCCCAGAGCCAGTTCCCCGCCGCCCACCGTGCAGGAATACCCCCAACCCCCAGCACAGCGCCTGTCCACACCGGGGAACGGCCGCGGCCTGAGCCCTCTTCCTTCTGCCCCCAGGTCATTCGAGCATGGGCCCGATGCAGAGGGTGACGCCTCCACGGGGCATGACCAGCGTTGGGCCCCAGGTAAGGGCTGGGCCCAGGCGACAGGGCAGCTTCAGGGGCTGCCCTCTCTCGGCTTGCCGTCTCACGGCCCCTTTACCTTCACAGAGCTACGGAAGTGGCATGCGGCCCCCACCCAACTCTCTTGCTGGCCCGGGTTTGCCCACCATGAACATGTAAGGCCCTCAGGAACCCCCGAGAGTGTGCCCATGTGGGTCACCACCCAGCTTCATGGGCTGGGTATGCTGGGGCAGACCCCGAAGCCGCACAACAGTCCCGATACTGTTTATGCCACTGCTGGGTGGGGAAACTCAGGCTCAAAGACCAGTGAGTGACAGATGGGGTTGGGATTTGAAGGCTGGCCTGGCATCTGTGCTTGGTTACTTCTCGGCCAACATCTGCTGCTCTGAGGGCACGTGGGGCAGGCTGGGGGTGTCAGGGAGTGTGTGCTGGGGGGCTGTGTACCGCCTGGCTTAGACCCAGGGTCCACCACTGTCTGTTCTAGGGGACCCGGAGTGCGTGGCCCATGGGCCAGCCCCAGTGGCAACTCGGTGAGTGTCGGGATGGCGTTGGTGTGTGTGTGGGGGGGGATTAGGAGTGTGCGAGTTGGTAGAGTGGGTGGACTGCTCACAGCTGCCCATCTCCCCAGATCCCCTACTCCTCTTCCTCCCCTGGCAGCTACACGGTGAGTGATGCCGAAGCTGGGACACCCGACCTGGGGGCAGCGGTTGTGGGGTGGCAGTTGGAGGGCTTTTCTCACCTTGTCTCCCTCTGTGTGCAGGGACCCCCAGGAGGAGGTGGGCCCCCTGGAACACCCATCATGCCCAGCCCTGGAGGTACTACAGCCTGGGCGGGGCATAGGGAGGGGTGTGTTTGGGTGAGGCCCTCTCACACCCCACCCCCTCACGTGCTGCCTCAGACTCCACCAACTCCAGTGAGAACATGTACACCATCATGAACCCCATCGGGCCAGGCGCCGGCAGGGCTAATGTGAGCTGGGGCTTGCGGGGGTCGGGGTGGGGGCGGAGAGGTGGTGGCCCGAGGCCCAAGCTGCTCCTCTGCCTGCAGTTCCCGCTTGGCCCTGGTCCGGAGGCCCCCATGGCCGCCATGAGTGCGATGGAGCCTCACCATGTAAACGGATCCCTGGGTGAGTGGGCGGAGTCCCGGGACACACAGACACCCACACACACGCCCCCACCCAGCTGCTTCGCGAGCCTCGTGCGCCTCCTGGCGGCCCCCTTCAGCCCCTCCGCCTCTGTGCTTAGCCGGCGTTGGGGGCGCGCCCCGAGCTTCTCTGGGCTCAGTGACTGGGGCTGGCAGCGCTGCGGGGAGGGTCCAGTAACTAAACCGGGGGGACCCCCGGCGGTGCCCCAGTGGGCTGGGCCGAGGGAGGGGGCGCGGCCGCCGGGGGAGTTCGGGAAGGGGTCGGTGGAGCCGGCTTGGCGCGTCTGAGCCGCGTCACCGCCGTCTGTCGGTCCACAGGCTCGGGCGATCTGGACGGGTTGCCGAAGGTGAGGGGGCCGCGCTCCTGCGGGGGGCGGGGGGCGGGGCTGCGGGGTCGGCCCGCGTGGAGAGGCCTAGTCCTGGTTGGGCCGCGCGGCGGTCGGGGCCTGGCCCGCGGGGCGGGGTGTTCCGCTCTGACCGCGGCCGCCCCCAGAGCTCCCCCGGCGCCGTGGCCGGCCTGAGCAACACCCCGGGCACCCCGCGGGACGACGGCGAGATGGCGGCCGCCGGGACCTTCCTGCACCCGTTCCCGAGCGAAAGCGTAAGCGACTGCGTCGACTCCCCCCCCGCGGCGGCGTCGGGCCGGAGGGGCCTGGCGGGCAGACCCCGGCGGGGCGGCCGGGGGGCCAGAGCAAGACCGTGACCGCGGCGGGCCAGGTGGGGGGGCGGCCGCGGCATCCTTCCCTTCCTCCCGCCTTCCCCCTCCCCAGGCCCGCCCTATCGCCCCGCCCCGCCCACATCCCACCCCAACCCTGGGACCCGCGGCCCAGGGCGGCCTCCCCACGCATCAACACCTGGTCCCTTTCCATCCCACGTCCACCCCGCCCTGTTCCCCCTTCCCCCCGGGGGCGGGTCCCAGCCTAGGCCGGAACTGAGCCGGCCCCCGCGCGCCACCCCCTCGTCTTTCCGCAGTACTCCCCCGGGATGACCATGAGCGTGTGATGGGGCCGCAGCCCCTTGCCCACTGCCGACCTCGGCTTCTGCCCAGCGCCCCTGCCCGGGGCCAAGGTCCAGGGGCTCGGGTGGTCTGCAGGGTGAGGGTCTGAGGTCACACCGCGGGCAACTGGACTCCCGGTCAAGGCTTGGATGGCTGGGAGGCCCCGCGCGAAGGACTCATTCATTTTATAAAAAAACGCAAGGACCTCAGAGACGTTCTTTCCTGTATGGGCCCTTCCCGCCATTTCTGTTTTGTCCAGGGGGCTCCTTGGGGGATTTCCTTTCCCCTGGAGCGCAGGGGTGGGCCCCAACAATAAACATAACTCGATTTTGGTTTTTGGCATCTGTTCTCGGGTTTCTTTGCTTTGGCTTATAGCCACAGCCTGCTTAGCCTAACCTTCAAGGGTTGTGGTTAGGCAGAGCCCCGCTCCCCCCGGGGGTTCTGGAAAGCCCCTGAGAGTTGGGACAGCAGAGTTTGGAAGGGTAGGCAGAAGTCCAGCTGGTGGAAAAGGGAGATGTGGCTGGTATTGGGGGCCGTTAGGGTTAGGTCGCAGGCACCAAGAATCCACAGGTGTGGCTCAGTGGCACTGGCTTTATTGTCTGTCTGAAGGGAGCCTGGAAGGGTCGCCTGCTGAGGAGCAATGGGGGCAGGAGCTACAGGGGAGCTGTATGGCCATGGCCTTAGGTGGTGGGCATCTGGGGTGCCTCAGCCTGTGAGTGCCCATAGGCGTCACCAGTACAGCCATTGGGGGCAGTTGGCGCTGATCCTTTCTTGCAAGGCACGGGGCAGGCGGTGGCCACATGCCCAACTTGCTTGAGGCCAGGGCGCTCCATCTTGTGCTCCAGAAGCATGTGGTTCTGCGGCGGGAGCCCCACGCAGGCCCTGAGAGATGGTCACGGCTCAGCGGGGCCAGATCCCAAGACTGCCCTGCAGTCCCTAGGCTCTGTGCACAGCCCCGCCAGTGGACATCTGGGCCATAGGTGGGGATCCCCAAGGTCGGGGCACACCTGAGGATATTCTCGATGCAGCTGCGCTGGCGGAAGAGCGCGTTGACCACTGGGCTGCCCGGTGGTGCAAGCGGTGCCTTGAATAGGAAGCCAAGCAGCGACAGCACCGGGTGGAAGCTCTGCGGCTCCGGGTCGATGTCGGTGCAGAAGCTCACACGCTGGCACAGTTCAGTCAGCAGGGCCAGGTCCAGCATGATGGGCGCGGCCAGGAGTGAGTCCTGTGGGGCCAGCGGGTCAGGAGGTGGGCCGGGCTGGTGGGCAGCCCCACTCCTGCCCCTTCTTGCCCCACACCTCGCACGTGTTGTGCAGCACCAGCGTGTTGGTACCGCCCAGCATCAGCTCCGATGTGTACTCATCCAGGGCACGCTTGCTGTCACCCACGTATGGCACGTACTTGATGACCACCTGGGGGGCGGCACGAGGTCACACGGGTCCCTGCCCTTCTCTGTGGGGAGCACCGCCCCACCCCACCCCACCCCATCCCCGCCCCTTGCCGCGTCTGCGCCCCACGCACGCAGTGGTCGGGCTCTTCGCCCGGCGAGTAGAGCACTGGGTTGCTGTGCACCATGTCGTCTACCACGCTGCTCTTCGACACCTCCTTGGAGCGGAACTGTGGCGGCGCCGACAGGTTCTGCCCGTCGTTGTTGCCCAGGTGGTTGTAGCTCACGATGGACATGGTCTGCGGGGGCAAGGAGACCCGTGGCAGCTGCAGGCCCCGCAGCACACAAGCCCACCCCTCGGGGTCCACGCCCCCCCATACTGAGCTGAGCAGCCCCCCAGGCCCACACACCTTGAGGCCAGAGCCAATAAGGAAGTCCACGAGCACGGACTTGACCTTGGTCTGCCCCGACTTGAAGTCGTCTCCACCCACAAAGACACGGCGCTGCCATGCAAGCTCGAGGGCACCAGGCACCAGCGTGTTCTGTGGGGACCCATTGAGGAAGGCGCAGCCCTCCAAGATGCTGGCCACGGCAAAGAGGGTGGAGGGCGACACTTCCAGGCCCAGCTGCGGGCAGAAGCGAGCAGTCAGCACAGAGAAGTCCGTGGGGGCTGGCCCTGAGCCTACCCCACCCCTTGGGTGCGCCCACCTGGATGGTGCGCAGCAGGTTCTCAGCGGTGTCATTGAGGCCCGGGACCACTTCGCAGAAGCGCTCCGTGTTCGCTGTCCACAGCACGATGACTTTGTCCAGCCCGGCGCTGGACCGGAAGTCGCGGATGTCCCTACGGATCTGCTCCAGCTGGGGGAGGGGGGGGATGGAGGGGGAGGAGGTTGTACAGGCTCCCCCGACCTCTGGAGGCCTGGGCCACTCAGTTCCCCAAGTGCAAAGTGGGACCTGGACCCTCGGGATGGAAGCATGGGGACAAAAGAGGGGTAACAGGTGGTGGGGAGGGAGGACAAGTGGCAGGGGTAATGGACGCGGGGTGGGGCTGCACCTGCTGCGCGCGCGTGCCCGGGATTACGTTGTCGGCGCGCGCGCTCTGGTTAGCTGCGATGAACTCGGGGATGTAGACGGAGGGCCGCGGGCGCAGGGCCTCCATGTGCGGCCACAGTTGCTCCTGCAGCCCCCAATCCAGTACCTGCGCGCGCCGCATCGCCTCCGCCAGGTTCAGCGACGATATGTCCCAGCCTGGGGGGGACCCTCAAGCTCGGCCCGGCCCCAATCCTGGGCCCCTCTAGGCCTCGCCTCCCACACCACCCCCGACCCAGGGCCCCGCCCACCGTCGAACACGATGTCGTCGGGTGCCACCATGGGCAGCAGCGAGCTGAAGGGCACGAACACCTCCTGGCCCTCGGCGTCCAGACCCAGGCTAACAGTGCCCGCCTGCGTCAGCGAGCCGTAGTAGTTGGCCTCCTGGGTTGGGGGGGTGGGCAGAGGGGGCTGAGTGAAGGGTGGGCGTGGCGTGGGCCACGAGCTGGCCAGGACCCCTATCGGCACCCTCAAGCCCCGCGCTACTTTGGGGCACCTCCCCATGGCGCTCCAAGCCGGGGCGGAAGCCGCTCCGCTCCTGAGGTCCCACCCCGAAGCCCTCCCACACCTTAGGCTCCGCCCCTGCAAGACCCCTGAGGAGTTCCCCCCGCCCACCCGCGGAAGCCCCTCCCCGGAGTCAGCCCACAGCCAGAAACCCTGCCCACTGCGGGCCCACTCCTCCGTCGAGCCCCTCCCCCTCCGCATGGATTCCTGCGAAGCTTTCTCTCCGACCGAGCCTCGCCCGACCCCCCACCTTGCGGCCGGTGCGCGTGGGCCAGGACAGGCGCAGTCGGTTGGCCAGCACGGCAGCGGTCAGCGTGGAGCCGTTGTTCCCGCCCCAGCCGACGAGCATGACCCCGAGCCGGGGCACCTGCCGGGCGGTCCGGAAGGTGAAGCGCGTGGACGTGGGGTGCACCTGAGGGCGGGCAGCTCGGTGAGCCGCGGGGCCGCAGGCCCCTCCCGCCTCACTGCACGGCGGGAGTCGCAGAAGTTGGGCAGTTCCCGCTCCCTCCCGGCTCCCTGGTTCCCCCAGTCCCATGGCCCGCCCGGTCGGTCCCTCGCTTACCTTGAGGACACCGCCCTCGCGGCTGACGCACGTCGTCCGGTACTCATACTGCGCCTCGATGGCCTCGGGGCTGTAGACCACGTCGGGGCTCTCGACCACGAACTCACTTGCGGCCTCCATCGCGACGAGCTGGGGGCACGGGGTTGCCAGGAGGTCAGAGGGGACCCGAGAACCGGCCGGGCCAAGCCGACTTCGGTCCCCGGGGAGCCTGCACCCCTCCTGGGGCGGCACTCACCGGCGCGGAGTCGGCTGGCACAGCAGGGGACAGCTAGGGCTCCGGGCGCGCGAACTCCAGAGAAAAGAGCCGCGGCCCCACCCCCGCCCCGCCCCTCGCTCCGCCCGCGCAGGGGAGGAGGGGCGCTCGCGAGGGGGAGGGCGCGCACCGGCTGTGGGGCTTGGGTTCGAGGCCCTTTTGCCCGGAGCTTCCGCGGCTATCTGGTCCCCGGCCCGGCAATCACGTGGGCCGCAGCCACCCCCCCACCCTCATCTCCCGCCGCCCCGGCCCTAGCTCGGCGCGCGTGATTAACTTAGGGCCCGCGGCCGCTTATTCCCATTTTACAAAAGAGGACTTTAAGGTTGTAAGTGAGCGCCAGGCCCCAACCACAAGGCAGGAGGTGGAGCTAGGTTAGGAAGCTCATTCTTTGCGTGAGGGGGACCAGGGGGCGCGTCTCTGGAGAAACTGAGGCACGGGACACTGAGGCAGAAGACTAAGTCAGGATTCGAATTTCAACGCGAGACGCTCCTCCAGCCCAGGCTGCCTCCTCCTCCCACTTCCTGAGCAGCAGCACCCACCAGGCACTCCACCCCCACAGGGCTCGCATGGAGCGGGGGTGGCTGCGAGTCCTCGAGTTCTCGGTGTCCTCACCTATAGCAGGAGGGCTTGATAGGGCCGGGCTGGAGTGGGGGCAGGGGGAGAGACTGTTCTGTGGGGAAGGGAGGGAAGCGGATGGGCAGGGCAGAGGTGGCCAGCTGGGAGGAGCTAGGCCTGCAAAGCACTGAGCCCCTCTAAGCGCCCAGTGATAAAGGAGCGTGGGAACTCGGCAGGCGGGCGGGGGCGGCTCCCCCAGGAACTTTCCAAAACAAGCGGCCTCCTCCGGCTGGAAAGTTTCCACCACTGGAGCTGGCCCAAAAGGTGGATCGTTGGGAACGTTTGCAGGAAACTTGGTCAGAGCCTGGCCTTGGGGAGTGGGGGCTCGAAGACTCTGGTCCAGGCTTTGCCCTCAAGGGGCCCCAGTGTAGGGAATTCAGAAGTGGACTTGGGGCACTCCCAGCCAGAGGGACCTAAGAGGCAGGGGTGGGCAGGGCAGACTGCTTGGAGGAGGTGGCTGCTGGAAGGGGTCTTGAGATAACCAGACATCTCCTATCAACGATTTGAAGAGCAGCTGCCCGGGCAAAAACCTGGGGGACTGGTTTCAGGGGCAGATGAAACGGGGCTGGGTGTGAGGGAGAGGGAGGCAGTTTGGGGACCAGGGCAGACCCTCAGGGCTGGGGACAGAGAATTCTTTATAATAAATATTTGGGTTTTGTCCCCAGTTCCTGGCTGGAGATTGAGTTCAGTCACCAATGGCCAGGGGCTTCCCTGGTGGTCCAGTGGTTAGGACTCCGCCCTTCCACTGCAGGGGATGAGGGTTAGATCCCTGGTCGCAGAACTAAAATCCCGCGTGCTGTGTGGTGCGGCCAAAAATTAGAAAAAAAAAAAAAAAATCACCGACGGCCAGCGATTTACTCAATCATGCCTATGTAATGGAACCTCTGTAAAAAGAACCCCTAAACAACAGGATTCGGGGGAACACATGGAGGTGCTGGGAGGGTGGCCCACCTGGAGGAGTCATGGCAGCCCTGCACCATTCCCCACACCCTGCTCTTGGCTTCTCCTCCATTCGGCTGTTGAAGTGTTTTCCTCAGCACTGTGAGCCATTCTAGCAACTCACCAAACCTCTGAGGGGGCGGGAGGGAACCCCTGATTTATAGCGGGTTGGTCAGAAGTCTGGGTGGCCAGGGACTTGTGGCAGGTGTCTGAAGTGGGGGCCTGAGCCCCTTCACCTGTGGGGTCTGATGCCAGACCTGATAATGGAACTGTTGGACCTCCAGTTGGTGTCGGAGAATCTACGGGAGGCTGTGCCTTCAGGCTGTGTATGATGTCACAGGAATGGGTACAGAAAGGTCCCCAAAGACCCAGCCCTGGGAAACCCCAGCACTCACAGGACAACCTGTGGGAGGTGCTGGCAGGAGGGTGGTGGGGGCAGAGCGGACCCGGGCAGGATCCCTGGAGGGTCAGTGTTGGGGCAGCTGGGAGGGACGTGGCTGCTTTGATTCCAAGCCGTCAGTTGGTGCTGTAAGGCCATTGTGGGGACCGCCTGGGTGTGTGACACGGGGTGAGTGTGCTGCCTGGCGGTGAGCAGTGAGCGACTGGAGACCCCCGATCCCACCAGACCGCGGGCTTCCGAGGGCAAGGGCAAAGCTGCTGAGGTCACTGCTGGGTGCCAGCGCCCAGATGGAGCCCGGTGCACAGGAGGGGCCACAGGATCTGGGTGCAGGATGTTCTTGTCTGGCAAGTGGCAGGGGCCGGTGGGTGACCCCAAGCCCCTTGGCCACAGTGCAGGTCGTGAGGGTGGGAAGACCCTGCTGGGCCCCTGAGGGACTGGACTCAGGTGCCGTCGGCTCGGGAAAGGATGGTCAGGGAACCGCCTGTGGCCATGGTGCCACGGGGCAGCGTGGGGGCCATGGGGGAGGCGGGTAGGCAACGCAAGGCTGAGGCGCGGGAGGCCGAAGGAGGCAGGTGTCGGCCCTCGGCCTGGGGCTGTGGCAGCAGGGACATTGTTACCCCTTAGAACAGCATGGACAGGCTGCCTGGGGAGCAGGGTACATTCTGCCCCACAGGGCCTGCCTGACCTCCCCTCCCGCGCCCCTCAGATTCCTGGGCCGCCTCAGAACTCAGGCCAAGGCCACTGGCCAGCAGGGCCACCAGAGAGGCTAAGGCCCACAGTCCCTGACCCCTGGACCCCTTTAATCCTGGTCTTATTCTTTGTTTTTCCTTCCTAAAATAAACATTCCCCCCCACTGTGTCCTTGGAGGGTAGAACCTGCCCCCTGCCTTCTCCTCACCTAGAACAAGGGGCAAGGATGGCCATCCGGCTGGTGTCCTGAGCCAGTGGGGCTCCACTGGGCCTTGGTGTCTGTGTCCCCATGGGGGGGAGGCAAGGGGACCCCCCCACCCCAGCGTGTGGCCCGGGAGGAATAATCAAGCAGTGCTGTTACTCATTGCCGTTTCATCAGTCAGTCACAGCTTGTTACCCCAAATAAGGGCACTCCCTTTGCCCCATGTGGCCCCCCTACAGGGCTTTGGCCCTGTGGGAGCCCCGGGGACCCCCTGCTTGGCCCAGCCCACCCTGCACACTCCATGGGGGCACTGCCCTTCTCATACACCGGCCATGGCTCCCCGCTGCTTCCACCTCCCATCTCTTGACATTTCTCACCCATGACCAGGCTGTCTGGCCTCCTGCTCTGGCACCTACCTGCAGGGCCCTCCGCCTCAGCTCAGCCCTCCACCTGCCTGCCTCATTCCTGGGCAGTGGCTCTGGCAGTACTAGCCTGTGCCCCGCCCATCACCATGCCTCCTCACCCCAGCCCACCCCAACACAGAACCAGCTGCCCGCCCCCAGGGAATGACACATACACTTCCAGCTTGGGCCGACAGGTTCAGTTCAGTGAAATTTATTATAGGTTGAAAAAAATCAGCATTCACCTGTTTAGTGTACAAAAAGGACACTAGTTCTTTTAAGAAAATATTAGGAAACTAAAGATGCAGATGCCTTTCAATTGTAACATTTTGGCAAAAGTGAAAAGTTCTTGTAAACACCAACTCCATGGCTCAAAAGTTTTTCTCCACAGTACAATATTAAAAGGAAAAAAAAAAAACAGTATCAATAAGTTAGACCATATTTAATCAGCTAGAACTTTTGTCCATCAACCCCCAAAGCACAAAACTTTTCTTAGCTTCATGATTCCTTAAAAGGAGAAAATAAACAACAACAATAAAAGACAATGAGGAGGAGGAAATTGAACTGAGAGTCCCTTGAACTGGATCCCAGGGCAGAGGGCCGCTCGGCCCTCCAGGGTGGGGCCTCCTTGAGTGCTCCCATTTCACCTGAGTCTGCACGTCCAGGCTGAGTACAAGATGGCTGTCGGGGGAACCTGGGGTCCCAGGGTGTGCTCAGCCCTTCCCCCTCTCCATCCCAAATGAGAAACACAACAGCTGTTGAAACAGAAAGGATCAGCATCCTCGGCACTCCAGGGGTCCCACAGAGACTCTGGGGTGGGGTGGGCACAATGCAGGCGTGCCTGCTCTTTGGGAAGCCATCAGGAGACACCGCCACAGCTCAGAAAACTAGACGTGTCTACGTGAGCATTTCCGCTCTCCCTTGCTACGGCTCCCGGCAGCACTTCCGCCCCCCGTGACCTTGACCTTCCCCCGTTGTGGCTTCGCTGAACACGGCTTTGGGTTCATGTGAGCGCCGCGCCCGGGGCCCCGCACACACGCACGCCCCCGACGCCCTGGGCACATCAGACTAGGCACAGTGACTAAGCAGCAACTGGGGTGTCCTCGGGCCAGCACCCCCAAAATGGGTGGATCCGGCACCTTTTCCGAGCTCACTCTTCCCCCCGCCCCCCCGCCCCCGGCTCTATTGACCCCCCAGCCCCTCCCTGAGTGCAAACCCCATGGCGGCTCTGCAAAGACGACCCCAGGACCCACAAGTGGGCTGAGGGGCGGGGCGAGGTCAACAGCATGGAGACCACTTGGTCTCAACAGTGCGAAACGAAGAGCAGCAGCAAAGGGGAGAATTGAGAAGACAGTAAAATAAAATCTGACACTGCTGCCGCAGAGCGCGGGCTACAAGCACAGAAACTCCCAGTGACCCCTGACAGCTGAGGGCCTGGAATAGCAGGGTGGGCCTGGTGGCTCCCAGCAGCTGCTCCTGGACCAGCTGGAGTTTTCCAAATAGAGCTGCGGGGGTCGCATTGCGCTGCCCACCCTCTTAGAGCCAGGGAGAGGCTGTGTGTGAGGGAGACCAGCGTGGGAGAGGCACCCCTGCCCGCCCACCACGGGTTCTCTCCTGGGAGCCCTGGAGCTCGCAGAACAACGCCGAACTTCCCGAGCATCTGTAATACTGTAGAAAGGACACAGGGCAGCGCCTAGACCCTGGGCGTCCAAGGAGGGGAGGCACAGGTTTAGAAAAAAGATGCTTTCTCTTTCGTATAAAAATAGACTCAAGTCTCATAAGCAGTAGCTAAAAGTGGCTGTCTTTGTATAAAACTAGAAAAGGCAGGCAGGCAGGCCGGCCTTGGAGTCTTTCACTGATAGGAAGCTGAAGCCCCTGGGGGGCGGGGGGTGGGGCTGGCGAGGAGGTGGGCCTCTTGGGGAGCCCATCTGGGTGGGGAGGCTGCTCAGGAGGTGTGTGGGGCCCCGGGGGAGGTGGACACCCCACCTGGGTCTGTGTGACCTGTGGGCGCCAGGGCTGCAGGGACTCCCCTGAAAGCCGGCGTTCCTGGCTCAGATGAATGCGTCTTCCTCACGTTTATTTTTCCAAATAAATCTCGTTTCCTCATCTTCAGCTCCCCCTCACCCCCAGCTCCCCCACCATCCAGAACGGTCAGCCCGGTGAGGTGAGCTGGCCTGGCTGGCTGGGTGGGGCCTCCTGCCCTGTGGCCTTGAGCTAAGGCCAGGCCTGCAGCTGCCGCTGGTCGTACTCAGCGATGAGCCTCTTGATGTGGGCCAGCTTGCTGTGCAGGTACTCGCAGCGGTGCTTCTCCTGGCTGTAGTTGGTGTTGGTCTGTAAGAGAGCGGCCGGGCTGACACTCGCCCACACGGCCAAGGCTGAGAGCCCAACCCGAACTCGAGCTGCCCCGCTTGGCTGCCCCAGGTTCCCACTCGCCCTGCTTGCGGCCTGAACTCTCCATGCCATGACGGGGACCCCTGCTCCGCCCCTCAGCTCCACCCTGGGAAACCGTCACAGCCAGGGTGAGAGGCTGAGGCAAGATAGGTCATGAAGCTTCCACGCTGGGCTGGGGCTTGGCTGGCAGGGAGCCGCCCTGGCACATGTGGCCCTCAGGAACGTGAGCTGCTGTTGTGGAACCACATCGCAGGAGACTGTCAGGGAGCCCAAGGTTGGGAGGCGGAAAGGACCTGGGGCTGTGCCCACCAAACACTGGGAGAGCGGGGGTGGGGGCTGCACCCAAGCTCATACGACAGGCTCAGCTCCTCAGCTGTGACCAGGGGCGGGGGCTACTCCGAGGGCCTGAGACCAGCCCAGTGAGACCCTTCCTCCCTCCCTCCTCTCCCAGACCCTGGCGCCACTCATCTTGAAACAGCTTCTGACCCCACCCCACCTACCCCAACAAAGGGATGCAGACTCACCTTCTTGATTTTTCGATATTCCTGTAAAATCTGCCCACGAGTAGTCTGGAGGAAAAACAAAAGAGAAAGCGAACAATGCATTACCTGCAGGACACCCCAACTGAATGTCCCCTTCTCCCTGATAACCTGCGACCTGCAAGGTCACCGCATGCTGGGCGACAATGGCCTCAGCATGGCGTGATGGCGTGAGGAAGCACAGAGGAGGGGCAGGGGGCAGGCTGGGGGATGAGCAGGGCAGGAGGTGGGGGAGGAAGCTGGGCCAGGGGAGCGAGGGGCAGGCACCCAGCCTCAGGGACAAGCATGAGGCCACGCGGTAGGAGGGGCGGGCTGGTCAGAGCCTCTGGAGGAGGCAAAGAGCAGATGGGACGGCCCCCTTCCCTCGCACCCAGCTGGCCTGTGCACCATTCAAGGCCAAGCGCAGAGGCCCCCTGACCACCTGGCGAGTGTCCCTGTGGGGCCTGCAGGGAGGAGGGAAGACAGAGATGCCCTGAGGATTTTCTGTCCTACACCCTCAGAGGCCCCATTTCTCTGCCCCAATCACGAGCCATCTCCTCTGGAAACCCAAGTGGCCTCCACCAGGGGTGATGGACCCCAACACCACGATTAATCAGGGCTGGCCCTGCAGTCAGGTAACCAGCGCTGAAAGGTGGCACAAGGGGGAGGGCTGGCGTCCCAGGGCTGGTGACCAAGCCCCCTGCAGTGAGCTCCCACGTGGGATGGCTTGGGGAACCCAGGTGCCCTTGGCCAGAGGAAGAGGGTTGGGGCGGGGGAACCCCAAGTTCCCTCCATCCCCTCCCACCCCCCACTGTGTCTGTGACAGCTCTGATGGGCCGTGGGGTGTGGCCTGGCCAGCCCCTCCTGGCTGGGGGACTGAGAATTCTCGTGTAACGTGGGTAGTGGGCTGCAGAGGGGACCCCAGGTGCTCTCAGAGTTGGGGACACAGGCACCCCAGCCCGCTGCTCCCCGCTGTCTCCACTGCTCGGAACACCGCCCCCGCCCCCGTGGGTCATCTCCCACCTGCAGAGTCGGTCACACCGGCCCCACTGCTGAGGACGCTGAGCTCCAGGGACAGGCCTAAACCACTTGGGGAGTGGGAAGGAGGGGCGAGCAGGGCCCTCAGCCCAGAACGTGCCCGAGGATGCCAGCCCCGGGCAGAGCCGTTGGATGTGCGTGGGTAGGGCTCTACCTCGTACTCCTCGGAGCCCTGGGAGAGCTGCCGGAGCTGGGCATCGAGCTGCGTGAAGCGCCGCGTGATCTGCTCGATGCGGGCGTGCAGGTCTCGGTACTCGCTATACTCAGCATTGAAGTCGTTTTTGTAGCTCTGGCGCTGCTCCGAGGAGGAGATAGTGGCGTATTTTCTGGAGAGACCAGAGAGAGGGGCAGGAGGGGCTCAGGGGGCGGCAAGAGAGAGCCTGGAAGTGCCCACAGCCTTGCGGCCGGCCCCACCCAGGAAGCAGCCCTGACCTCGTGCAGACTAGGCCAGGAATTCACACACATGGCCTGGGGTCAGCTCTGCCTCTGCTAACGTGCAGGGCAGGGGCCGGGAGGGGAGAGGCACAGCCGGCAAGGGAAGTACTCACAGCAAGTAGTCGGGAGTCTCCGAGGTCGACGTGGGAACACTTGAGCTGCTGCAGGTCCCATTTAAACCTACAAAGAGCAAACGCATAACTCCTGAGTCCACAGCTCGTGTGTCCACGGTGAGATCCTCAGAAGGTTGATGCCTTGTTGTCTGAAGGCCCTGGAAGGGACGCTGCGTGCAGAGGATTGCTGAGGCCACGTAGCGGGAGCCAGGACCGGCAAAGGAGGCATGAGCACTGGGCAAGTGCTGTCTGGCTACCTCGGGGGTCCAGCTGCAGCCAGGAGTGCCCTCAGCCCGTGGGAGAAGTGGCGAGGCAGCATGGTGTGTGTCCCCAAAGCACAGCCGTGCAGAGATGGCATCGTCGGTACGTTTTCAGCAAGCACCCCAAAGGATGGATTCATTGCAGGGCAAAGCCTGGGCAACTCGTCCAGAGCCTCTGCCGCCTCCGCTGACCTCGTGTAAAAGATCACTAAGATGAAAACGGGTGACCCCTGGATAATCGAGTCCCAGGGGTATCCCGGGCTCCAGCCCTACAGGACAAAGACAGACGGCCAGCAGGGACAGCCCTGGCTCCTGTCCACACCTCTCCCCGTGGATGGAGTTGCAGGCTCTGCAGGCTCCGGTCCCTGGTCTGAGCCACGCCCTCTCCCCATCCTCCCGTTCCTCACACCAGAGATGGGACTTCAGGATCAGAGGGGCAGCCCCGGAACAGGGCTGGGCTGGTGGCTTCAGAGGCCAGGGACTGTGACACAAGACTGTCCACAGGGCTCGAGGCCTGCCCGGGCTGCAGTCGACCAAAGCTACAGTCCGGTCCTCTTCCCCTGGGAAACTGTTCCAGCTGGCCTCCCCCTCCCCACAACTGAGAAGCAATTTGATCGCTTTGAAGCATATCCTGAGTGCTTATTTCTGTGCCTCTCTCAGAGGAAAGCAGCCCACCCAGTGGATCAGCAGTTTGCTGAGCCCTCCTGTGGTTTTATACTCCAGCGCGAGGTGCAATTCCCACCAATGGATGGAGCCCACCCCGACCTGGTGTCATCTTTGAAGAGGCTGTGGCCTCCCCAGAATGCAGCCCAACAGGCACATACATGAGGGTTTAGTCTACACTCCCACCACCCACACCCCACACAGGACAGGCCTCCTGGGGTGCTCCGCCTTGAGGCTTAGGGTCAGACTGACCTGGCACCCAAGACACTGTTGGGGTCCAGCCTGTGGCAAACCTTTGTGGTCCCCACTCCTGCTCCGGCACTGGCTGCGTGCGGCTGTCACTTGGCTGCCCCTGCACCAGCCGAGCTGGTTCCCACACCCATGTGTCCCCTCCACTAGCTTCTCCTGTGCCTCCCCAGGGCAGGGGGTGCAGGGACATGTCTGCGAGTTCACCCTGCAGGACCCAGGTCTGGGTGCCAATGAGAGAGGGTGCCCCCAATTCCACACAGGGGTCAGTGGGCCTGAGCTTGGCCTGGCTGAGCCCAAGCCCTCCACCCAGCACGCCAGCCTGCCCAGGAAGGCACCCTCTGGCCACAGGAGGTATCCACAGCCTGAGCAAGAGTCGGGGGCAGGCACGAGGGTGGGCGTAGGATCCAGGAGTGGGCCTGTGGCATAGGGGGATGAAGATGGCCAGAGGGGGGCCTCGAGAGTGGGGGCCACAGGGAGGCTGAGCTGAGCCACCTGCCTGACAGGTGGAGGCCGCCACACCTGTCAGGGTCAGAGGCGATCACAGGGCAGGGCTGGGACAGCAGGGCCAGACTAGGGGGACAGTGTCACGCAGAAGGGTGGGTTAAACAGATGCCCATCCCTCTGCCCCACAGGACATAAGGGCGAGGAAGCTTCCTCAGGGGCTGACCTGGAGCGCTCTCCAGCAAGGCTGGGGGAGCATTCAGAGAACAACGCTATTGTTAACAGTGGGTGGGTAGCTCCTGCCTGCACATGCCCCCAACCCAGGAAGGAGTCACAACACATGTTACAGCAGGGGGGTGTGTGGTGTGGTGTGGTGTGGTGTGGTGTGGTGTGGTGTGTGTGTTGGGAGCTTGGGGACAACATGTTATACAGCAGGGGTGTGTGGTGTGGTGTGTGTGGTGTGTGTGTGTGTGTGTGTGTGTGTGTGTGTGTGTGTGTGTGTGTG